GATCAACACTGGGCAGGGAGTGTGTGGCGATATCAAGCAGGCTGGTTTTTATTTGTAAAAAACAATGGGACATGTCATGTATATTTTTGATATCGAAATATTTTCACAGTTAATAAATTTATATTTTTATTATGTTGGGAGTTTCTAATTAAATATATTATCATAATCATTACAACTCCCACACATTCAAATCGAACGCTCCCTTCTCTCAAAAACTGAATTGACGCTTTTAGCACATCCTTGAAGCCTTTGCCAAAAACTAATCAGCACGCCCCCCGAATGTTTTTGAATTATTCAAATCAGTTGATTGCTGTTCGCGAAATCGTCAACGGAAGTTTCTATCCGCACATAATACATACATACACAAATATAGACATAAATCAATTTTAAGGTATGCCAAAACGTTCAGAAACTTTTGAAACGAGAAGATATATAAACATTTTCATTTTTGACTTTTTTGCGATTAATACGAGGGTCATTCAACAAGTACTTAGCTTTCAAATAAAAACATTGCCACAGGGAAGTTGCAATTCATTTTTAAACATAATCTCTTTTAAGCTCGATACATTTGGACTTGCAATGTGTTCCAACTTAGTCAACCCGTCCAAAAAATACATTTTCTCAAAGGCTACAAAATAGGCCAAAAAGTTGTGGTGAGGCTAAGTACTTGTTGAATGACCCTCGTATAAGTTACCATACGGAAACTTAATAATTATTGAACTAATATTTTAACTAAATTTTAATTCAATTTATTAGTTTTTTGTAAAATATTTTAATTACCTTGTTTTGAGTGATCTTTTCGGTCATATTTTTAAGACTTCGATAAGAATAATTAATTAAAAAAGAGAATTTTCATATTCATTTTTCAAAAACATATTCTTTCGCAATTTCTAGATTGTTGCACTAATTTATTATATAAATTTATTATTAGAAATTTAGTTTCAAAGGAAAATGTATGAAAACGGATATATGTACGAACATACGCAATTGGGCGTTATAAGTTGAAAAGTTTGTGACAACATGCTAGAAATCCAAATAAATGATACGAAAAATGTTAAATAATATGTGAGTTATCTCAAAAGTTTAATCCTTAGATAAAATTAATTTTATATTAAAACAACAAAGTACTCATTTTATATAAATAAAAATGTAACAAAATTTACAATTATTTTAAATTACAGATATTAAATTTTTATTAATCATTATTTATTATTAATTATGTAATTTTAAACAAAATTTGAGTAAAACTGTTTATCCCCGACCCCCGTTCTTGGCATAACTTTACACGTGTACACGTGTAAGTCGATAATACCGAATTAGACGTTCGTATTAACGGTGCCGATAATCTGAAGATTATGTCTAGATAATTAGCATTATCTTTACGCAATAATTATAATTTATAGTACGTTCAGAGTTATTTATTGTTGTAAATGTTCGGAAACGCTGCGCACTTGGCACATATATCCTGGTACATCTCTGCGAATCAAGAATAACACAGAGCTCATTTCAGCAGGCAATTACTGGAACGCCGTTTCATGTAATGTGAAAATGTTCATTGTATTGCAAATAGCAAAAATTAGCATATCATTAATTATATTTAATTAATTAAAGTAGGTCGTAGCTAAGCTCGTAATAATTACGCTCAAGTGAGAATATTTAATTCTACGCTGAGTTGAGAACTTTCTTAATTGGTATTCAATAATCATTAGATAAATTTAATCTTCAAGTTACTAACGATGACATCAACTAAAGATATGATAAATCTTTCATTGGATGCACTGAATATAAAACATTTTGTTCTATATATTTACAAGTTTCTACTATTTATTATATAACGAAACTTTAGAATGGGTGCAGATTTTATTCTTAAATTGATATGCTCTTTAAAGCTAAATGAGTGATCAATGATTTTTAAAGAAAGAAGTAGTTGTTTAAGGTCGAATTCAAAAATAGATAGAAAAGAAATTTGTAAAAAACCATCTAGATAATTACTTGCATAATACTATTTATGAATAACGCGGAAAAATTATATCTCCTGATATATAGTAGATATACTTACTTATTTTTGTAAATTCGTTTTAGTTAGAAATATTTGTGAAAATTGTTTTGTTATAAAATTTTGATATATATTTACCTGTTATTTATATAATAGAAATTTGCATTCCGTGCTTCTTCTTAAGTTTATAAAAGTGTGTGTGATTTGACAATAGGTACTCTCAATAATCGTGAATTTAAAAATGATCAAATTACACCACGTAATATTTAACATTATGGTGTAATTATACATTTGTAAAATTGATAAAAACCTATATTTTCATAAAAGTGATAAAATTTGATAAAAGCATTCATTAAATTTTAAACGGTATGCGCTTCGTTCTAAAATGAAGCTTCTATCTTGAAAGGTCCATATTTATGCAAGACTTTTGAAAATACTTTTTGGTAGTTAACTTTACTTATTATGATGGAAAAATATTTTTACATAATTCAGATGTAATGATTTTCAGTTGAATCATATATATTTATATAAAATAAAACGCTTAAAATTTAATTTAATTTTCAAAGTATTTTTCTTCCGAATTGATTCATAACAATTCACTCAATGTTTGGCTTAAGTGAATTTGATTTTGTCACTTTTGTAATAATTAAAGACACATTATGTTACCAAAACATGTTTAGAAAATTAATGGGTCGTCTATATATAGAAAAAATATGATTTAGTAGATAATAATTCAATGTAAGTATTACGTAAAATTCCATTTCAGAAGAATAAATCTTTATCAAGTTACTCCAATGCAAAGAGTGTAGTAGCAGAGTTAGGCAATGTAAAATTTTAATTAATGAATTAAATTAAGTATTTCGTTTGTTAAAAGTTTAAAATGCTTTCATAATTAGATAATTATGATTTTATTGTCATAAAATCGGACCTGTATGTTCGATCAGCCTTACATTTGTTCTTTTTCACGTTTTATTTTTGGTATTACATATTACTTAAAATGCATTTAAGTTATTTTAGAACACTCTTAAATATCAACACTTTATTCATGATAAAATAGAGCAATGTAAAAAATAAAAAAAAGGTTCTTCAAATATGTTACGAATTTAATATATCATTTATTGCAGAAATTTGAATAAGAATATTTTAGTATAGGAGTATTTCGATTTAGTATAATTTAATATATAATATATATATATATATATATATATTTATATATATATATATATATATATATATATATAATTAAGTGTTAAAATCCAATTTTCACGTAAAACAAATTTCACCACTCTTATCTTCCAAACAACTTTTAAAACGAGGGAGAATATTTCCTAAATTTTTAATAAAGAAGTAATATTTACAAAGAAACTGAATTGCATTAAGTATTTTATGAACATATACAAGCACTATGTCCTTTAAAAAAATAATATCTATCAGACTTATAAATTGATTTTGACTAAGAACCAAATATAAACTAATTTTTTGAATCATTCCTTCAATTATCTGCTTAATAAGATTTTTTTTTATATCAGAATAAAATATTATTAGTACTTATTCTCACGCATATCCATTCCAACATTTATTATGCGTTCGAATGTGATATTAATTTTGAATACTTCGGCAATAAATTTGAATTATCCGAATCAATAATCGTATATTAAGCGCTCAAGATGATAAATATCATCTATATATACAAATCATTAACTTCACAACGACTCCATTGGTATAATTCATGATCCCAATTTTCATTCCCATTGCCTTATACCTCTCGTATATCATACAATTAGGGAAATTGTAATAGATTATTAGAATCATTTTTATTTACTTTGGAATAATTTTAGTTGAATTTATCAAATAAATATGAATGTATCAAATCGAATGAGTTATTTTTATCGTTAATACATGATTAAAAAATCTTGAATCTCAAAAATACCTTGAGACTTTATTTTGAACTCTTGGTCGTGAAATTAATGATTCTGTAGCGGTCGAAAAAATATGGTTTGTATTAAATATGGTTTACACTACTTGAATGAATATACTTACGAGCCAAAACTTTTGATGATTAGTAGATTGTTTATATATAATAATGAACAACATATAATTATATCAATCGCCATTCAAAATAATTGCACATCTAAATATTCCGAGTCGAGAAATTACCCGTTTCGAGAGCAATCAAGTATAATAACAATTAGAGTCACAGTTCATATATTTAAAATTTTATTTTTTGAGCATCTTTGTGATCTGACAATAATATGGTAAAACATTCTTTTTATTATTGAATTATTTTGATTTAAAAAATCACTTTCGATTTATTGCTATGGCGAGGTTAATAAACGAATAAATTAAAGGGGTTGAATTTAATATTGTATTGGTTTATTTGTTATTTTATTTATAATTACAATTTAATAAGGCAGTGTTGTTCTTCTTTTAAATTATTTAATGTTTATAAGAATCAAATTCAATATATGCTTTTGATAAATTACATTAAATGTATCTATTCTGATACGAGTTCTTAGTTTGCAAATGATCTTATTGCTTTATTTAATTTACACTTTTATTTTTGCTATCATAAAGGAAATTGCTCAAATTGATGTCTACAAAAAGTAGAGCCAAGTACTATCAGAAGATATCTATGAATTTACATTTTAGTTTTTTTATATGTGTATCTACACAATAATGAAAACATAAAAAAATGTAGAAAACAAGGGAAATATTTTACATCAATAAAAACCTTATTACTCTTTGATTCTAAAATAATTTACTCTTTTCTTCAGGATGATTGCCAACTGCATTTAAGATGTGGGGGTATATTCAAATCTTTTTATTTGAATCTAATTATCAAACTAAATATTCTAATTACTTACTCACTTCTACTTACTATTGCTTACTTCTAATTACTTGAGTTACTTGTTCACAAAACTTAATTAACGCAATTACTATTTTCTTGTGAAAAGTAAGATTAGGGAATAAAGTTGTAAATTAATAGATAATAAAGATAACTTACTTGTAAGGTCCAGGTTCCAGTTGTTTCAATTAGAAACGATTGAAACCTTTCGTCAGCTATGAATGTGTACCTGTCCACAGTCAGGATATGGGCGTCTCTGCGTCGAATCCATGATACTGACTTATTGTTACCTGAAAAGAAATTCACTATAACAAAATATTTCTCTTTCTTATATATATATATATATATATATATATATATATATAATGGGTAGTACTGCCTTAGCCCGTAATTTCCCATTTTATTTCACACCGTAGTACCCAAAATACGCTATTTTCTATTGGAAAAATCTAAATTTCAAGTCAAAAAGATATCGCTGCTGCACGATAGTAGGTTGCCACAGCGGAGGTTGAACACGCGACCCCGTCTATACGAGACATATATATTCTGTACTTATAATATGCTTATATAATATATATTTAGAAATATCCTACTTAATCGCTTATTGATTTTATGCCTCTATAGTACAAAAATACAATATTTCTTCATGGTTTAAGTT